ATAGACATTGAGAACCTATTTTGTGTCAGACATTTTTTCTAAATACTCGAGATACATTAGAAAACAAAACCAATATCCTTGCCTTCTTTGTGCTTATATTCTAGGGGAGATTCCAACAGTAAACGATCCATACAGTAACTAATGAAGGATGGAGAATGTCAGAGTGTGATTAAGTGCTGTGGCAGGGGAGGGAAGAAAGCAGAGCAGGCAATGGGGTAGGGTGTGGGGGAGGGGCGGTGTGCTAGAGCAGGAGGAGAGGGCCCAGTTGTCCCCCTGGAGAAGGTGAGGGCTAGGCGAAGTGTCTAAGGAGAACTACATGGAAGAGTCAAAAAGCAAACTGCAAATCCACCAAAAATGGAAGGGTCTAGAAGAAGAAACACAGGGGCAGAAGCAACCACATCAATGGTTGCCTGGGCAAAGCAGGAGTGGAAATTGACTGCAGAGGGGCAGGAAGAGATCCAGGGAGTTAAAGGAATGCTGTTTGAGCTGGATTCTGGTGATGGCTGCAGTATTGTATATACTTACTAAAACTCACTGAATCATACACTTGAAATAGGTGGATTTTAGCATTTGTGAAGTCTTCTTATCTTAGTAAAAGTATTGAAAAGAGAAGGGGGAATAAAATAAGTAACATTAGAAAGTACAGAATAAAACAAAGTAGAAAAAGAAGCCTGTAGAAGACTTGGAGATTTTAATTAGGAAACTGTAAAAGCAGTTTCTGGTATTCCTTCATCTGTACCTTAAACCTGGTGTCTGATTATAATTTTATGTGATATCTTGAATCCAGGATATATAAAACTCTATGATGGGTAATTCTGTGTGTCAACTTGGATAGGCTATAGTGCCCAGTTACGCAACCAAACACGACTCTAGGAGCTGCTGTGGAGGTATTTTGCAGATATGGTTAATGTCTCGATGGACCAACTTTAAGGGGACAATCCTTCACAATGTGAGCCTCATCCAACCGGATGGCAGGTCTCCAGCACAAAACAGAGGTTCCCCCAGATGGCGCTCAGAGTAGCTATAAAATTAGTAAGAGAGCCATACAAATAATATAAATGACAACGTTAAGCCTGGGTTATACTAGGGCTCTATAATCTCTGGATATAAATGAATGAACTTAGATCCCAGTTTTAAAACAGAAAAGATATATGAAACCTTCGAAGTATGTTTGGAAGGAAAGTCCTTCTTGAGAGCAGCCACCCCCTTCCAGGAGCTCTGAAACTTTCTTATCTCTTCTCTTCAGCCCACACAGCCCACAGTTCCTTCTCCTTTCAAAGGAAAGCAACAGAATTAAAAAAAAAAAAATACAAAGCCTGAAAAAATTTAGAAATTTACAAATTCTTCTATTCTCTCACAACCATGGGCTCTGGCCTGTATCAGAAAGCCTATTACCAGGTAAACAGTCAATAAATAAATTTACTTTGATTATTAAAATTAACAAAGTCTTATCAAAAGTAATTTCAGTTGGGTTGTAGAGAGAAAAAATTAAAGCAACCAAAAGAACTGTTGCTGAGGGAACATCCCAAATGAATAATCTCTTTCTTTCTCTGTTTATTCCCGAGAAAGAACAAGACAAAAGAATTCTTGGTGCTTAAACATCTGACCACGAGTGTTCCGGAGGAGAACTAAGACCTTGGCTGGGATTAGCAGGATGCAGGCACGGAGAGATAAAGCTCCACGCTGGTAGGACACAGCCGCAGAGAGTGGAAGCTACATGACCGGGAATTTACTCCAAAGGAAAGGGAGTGTGCACATGTCTGAAGTCTGTAATCGAGTACACAAGGCCAGCAAGCCTTTAGTTAAGGCTGTCACCTGGTAAGAAAACAATTTGTTTTTCACCAAGGAGGAAGGAACGCTTTGATTTGCGGAGAAGTTGGTCAGATGCTTTAGATGAGCACGTGGTCTGAAATCTCAATTCTTCCTTGGAAGGGGCTGTCCTTGATGAGTTAAATAAAGACTCCGCACGGACTGGAAAGGGAGTCAGCGCTTAGCATCCTCGGGAATCAGTCCCTGGGCTTAATAGGTTACTCTGGTAATGTTCACACCATTATTTAACTCTACTGCCTTTCAATGGATGAAGAAGGTAAATTATTAAAATGATCTATCAACTAAGTGAAGCCACGATCCCAAGCCAGGAGTGTGTGTTTCAAAACTCATATTTTAGAACAAATCCATTTTCTTTCCACTCTACTAATGTTTAAGATGTTTTTATTACAGTATCTACAACTAACTTAAAGCTTTTCAGCACAGACTGTAGGCAGCTGTGTGTGTGTGTGACTTACAATCTAGAGACAGCGAGCTTCCACTCTGCAGCCGCAGGTCAGAGGCAGTCACGAGCCGCCATTCCAGAGGCAGCTACTTCAGATTTCTGCTGTCTGCTCCTCTAATCAACTTGCTAAACGCCAAACTGGGTTTTCTTTGGTGAAATGAGTGCCTTGTTAATCAGCATAAATGTTAGATAAATGTTAGGAAAGATATCTCAGTGGTGAAATGAAAGATATTAAGGATATATAGTTTGACAAAACATGTTGTATAGACACACACAGCCTGTGTGTAGACAAGATAAGGCAAGTGAGGCCAGTGGCCTGCAGCCTTGGACATGGTTCTGGAGTATCGATCACTTAGTGATCCTGTGCCAGCCACCAGCTTGGGAGACTTTCTGTTGCTTGGCACTGGCTGTGTGTAGCTGAATCCTGCGTGTAAAATACTGTGAAAGCTGCCCGAAGAGAACATTTAATTCAAGGTATAGCAAGTCAGAGAGCTAGGACTTCACTGAGCTTACAGAAGAGTCTGTATTAACTGCATTGTGCCTACCTGCTAATAAAAATGTTCATTTAATAAATGTCTGTATGTGCACCAGACCTTGGCCCTGTGACTTCCTTTTACTGCTTCACGGTGGCTAAGCTACATGACAGTGGCTGATTCTCACTTATCTCACTTTTTGGTGACTGACATCTTTCAGAAGAATCTGAAAGCTGTGCATGCAAATTGGCTCGGGTTGATCTATAATTCTGTTCCTCAGATCATTTGTGCCAGAATAACTTAGAGCTTAGAATTCTTTCTTTTCCCAGCATTCTGCATTGAGTTCTAGGAGTGGGACCTGAGAATTCTGAAATGTAACAAGTTTCCCTGGTGATTCTCATATATTCCAAGGATTCAGCTAATGAAGATATAACCAAAGAAGCATCATGATCATCTGCTGACAGCATTTCCCAATGGCAGACAAAAGACCCAAGAGGGAGAAAATATACTCCTAACCACTGGGTTTGAAAACCAAAATCTATAAAGCAATAGTAAATAGCACACTATGAAGACTTCGCATCCCATTAACTCTGTGCCTTAAATTTGTTGGTCATAGCTACAAGGCTACCCATGTAGATGGAAACAGACCAAAACTAGCCTTAGGCATTCAGCGTGTTCATCGATGGCCAAAGGTATTCCACTGCCATTTGGATGGGTCAGGATTATCAATAGCTTTCCAACTGACTACTGTGATCCATTTTATATGATGGCAATGAAAACTGTTGGCCAAAAGCCCATCATATTAAATACATTTTTGCAGAAAAATCAGTTGGGCTACTGGGTTACTTCAAAATCAATAAGCCCCAGTGTATTCACTTATGAGACCTCTCGTCCGACCTTCACCCAACTCATCAAATATTTATTGAAAGCCTTTTTAGAAACATGTAGTTTTTAACTTCCAGTGAACACAATGTAAGATTCAAGACAGTGAGGTCTAGCTCAGGTCTTTGGTCTCTGAGTTATCACTCATCGTACCACAATGTATAGCGAGAAACACCTGGCACAGGAGTCAGAGGTCTTGAGCTCAACTGATGGTATAAACTCAGTGGCAGGTCAGTAAAGCACTGTGGGCTTCCATTTCTACTTTTAAACAACTGGGAGTAAAATGTTTGCTCTTACTTGTTTTTCTAAATTTACTAATTCATTCCTATTTATCGGTTATCTACATTCCAGGAATTTTTCTAAGACCATGGAGGATACAGTAGGGAACAAGATACACAATACGACTACTCTCAAATAGGCTTATTCTAAAAGTAGAAATATATATAAATATACTGATATATAAAAACTTAAATAAGCAAATAAATAAACGTGAATATTAGTAAATGTATTTTGAGAAACAGATATACGTACACATTTGTTTTTAAAGTTTAACAAAACCTTTCCTAAGAATGCAATACTATTTTTTAGATCTTATATTCTGTGATTTAGGATGAGGAAGTCAATAATCTAGTGACAGATATATTGATTCAAACAACACACCAAATACTTTAATAAAAAGATGTCCCTACATTTCATTAATGATAAAAAAAATTCTGGCAAGATACATTTTTCAAATTAAAGAAAAAATGCTCAGGTCCCTGTGACATTTTTTCACATATAGTAGAATTTATTGTTTTAAGAGAACCTTCTTTTTCACTAATTCTTTCACTACTTAAGAACCAAGTATATATGATAAGATGGCTTTCCTATAAGGCAACGGGTATAGACAACCTCAAAGATGTTCTCTATGCATGTCTTCTCATGTAATCCCTTTCATTTAAGTGTGGTCTGCATTTAGTGACTCACTTCCACCAAACTGTGTATAACTGAAGTGATGGGATGTCACTTTAGTGACTGTGAGGCAATGTTTGTTGTTCTAAGCCACTAAGGTTTGGAGTAATTAATTACACAGCAATAGGTGATCCAAGGATCTGACTTTGAGGGTAGTATTATGATAATCAGTGGATTCATAATCTCAAGCTTTATACTTTGAATATTTGAATTAAACTAGAAGGATATGGTGGCATCGTAAGAATACTTTCATCACGAAGAAGCATAAACTTGCCACTCTTTAGCTCATGGAATAAGAGTTTGGTGTTTTCCCTGAGATGTGCTGAGTCTATTGAATCAAATATAAATACTTCATAATCAAACTTCACTGAAACTCTGTTTTAACAATGTACTAGTTAACCAATAAAAAATGGTAGTCTTACCTCCAAAAAAGTACTTCTCGCCAGTTTTAACTTGAAGAGGACTGTTAGTTCGAACAGCTGAAGCCTCATCCCCATCGATGGTGAGAATGGCAAAATTTTCCTTAGCTAGGAAACGAACTTCATGCCACTGTCCGTCATTCAATCCAGAACCTGTTAAGAAAAAAAGTCAATTTATTTTCTGAAGATGGTACAGTTTAAAACAATTTTCAATACCAACAAGGTCAGAAATTTGTTGGTAAAAATTAGTATATTTCCATCTAGAAAAATTCAGTGCTACTTGCAACTGATAGCATGCTTCTTTGATGTCGTAAGTGGTTCTATCCTCCATTGGACAGATAAGGCATAACAGAACCCAATAAAGTAGGTGAATAATCATTAATGTGCCATTGGCATACCTGGGAAAATGAATGGAGTGAATAAAGCTGTTTGGGAGGTGATGATGAACTATTTTAATTTAATTACTTATTTTATGATTAGGTTTACTAGAAGCCACTCTCCAATAACAAAATGGATTTACGACTTTTATCTAACATCTCTCTCAATTATTAAGAACTTTTTGGTACTATTATTTTCTCTCAATAACCATGTCTGGCGGGACGCCTGGGTGGCTCAGTTGGTTAAGCAGCTGCCTTCGGCTCAGGTCATGATCCCAGCATCCTGGGATCGAGTCCCACATCGGGCTCCTTGCTCAGCTGGGAGCCTGCTTCTCCCTCTGCCTCTGCCTGCCATTCTGTCTGCCTGTGCTTGCTCTCTCTCCCTCTCTCTCTCTCTGACAAATAAATAAATAAAATCTTTAAAAAAAAAATAAAAAAAAAATAACCATGTCTGGCAAGGTTGCAGAAAGTGAGAACTAATGTGCTAATTAACCACTTATAATCATAGGAAATAATACCAAGGTTATCTGATCATTTATAAATAAGGTATCCTTATAATGAATTAGGTTGTATTTAAACATATAAACCAACAAAAATAAATCAATAACTCCCACTCCTAACAACCACATTAACTGTGGCTTAGTACAAAAATCTTTGGAAACAAACATTCTTTTAAACTCTCCATTAGACAGATAATAACTTAAAGTTTTTGTTTAGTGTGCTCATTTTGTAAAGAATAGAAAATTAAAGCGCAAACAAAGAAGATCATCCATGAAACATAAGCACCCGGAAAGAGTTTAAGCAACACTAAGAGAGAGACAGAGAGAGAAGTCTAAGAGGGTCGGAGTGGCTTTCTTTGAACTTACAAAGGTCTATTCTCTTGCAAAGTGAAGGGATTTTGTTCTAACCCAGACAGAATAATTTAGAATCCACAGATTACTTGAAGTTACTTGAAGACACATTTCAGATTCACAAATGAAAGAGAAGCCTAGAGAGTAAAGGTAGCTAAAACTGAAATGAGAGCAAGTCAATGAAGCACAGATGATGCTCCCAGCCTCTGAGCAGAGGTCTGCAAATCAGTTTATAGGGCAAGCCTGGCCTGCTGCCATCTGCTCCTGTATGGTCTGAGAGCTAAAAGTAGTTTTCACATCTTGAAATAGCTAACAATTAATACTAATACTAATACTGATAATAATAATAAATGACATATGAAAATTATATAAAATTTAAATTTTAGTGTCCACATGAAGTTCTGCTTACATAGTGCCTTGCTCCAGAGTCAAGTTGTTGTTACATAGACTTGTTAAAACTCACAAAGCCTGAAGTATTTACTGTGTGGTCCTTTGCTGAAAAAGCATAAACTTTTGGTTGGCTGAAACTATTAAACAGAAATACTATCTTAATGGGAAAAAAATTAAAGCCTGTTGAAGCTTGTAAGATTGTCACGTACATGGAATATTTATCAGTGTTAGTAAATATCACTACAAATAACCACGCCTCAGGTATTTTCTTAGGATTTTCAAAATTTAATTTAGAAATACGTACTTAGCACATTTTATACCAACGGAGGAAAACAAAATCCCTGTTCTAAAGTAATACTGAATAACCTCTAAGTTACAAAATGTATAATATATATGCACAATTTTGTACTGTGAAATTACTATGTAAATGTTAAGTCTTATTCTAAAATTAAAATCAGTTAGCAATCACACAAATACTAGTGTTTACTGAAATATTTCCTTCTTAAGTAGGTTACATCAGGGTTCTCCCACAGAATAGCGGCACAGAAGACCGTATCTTCACGGTAACATTTTTCTGTAGACACAAACTGGGTTTGTGTAGTAGGGTGTGTTTCTGTAGACACAAAACTGGGTTTAGTGTTGATTAGGCATAGAAGTGCATGGTTTTGGGTTTTGCCTTTATAATGTGATAGCCCCTACTTTGAAATGCAATTTTGGTGCACACATCCCAAGGACATCAATGTTAGAAATGTTCAATCTCCAAATCTAATTCTAAATAATCACACAACCAGAAAAGGTCACTTAACTGACAGATCTTTCTGTTCTAAACAGTAGTCCAGAATGTGTTTCTAAAAATTCCTGTGAACATTTCTCCATCATACAATTAATTTTTGTTTAAAGATTTTACTTATTTATTTGATAGACTGAGATCACAAGTAGTCAGAGAGGCAGGCAGGGAGAGAGGAGGAAGCAGACTCCCCACTGAGCAGAGAGCCCGATGCGGGGCTCGATCCCAGGACCCTGAGACCATGACCCGAGCTGAAGGCAGAGGCTTTAACCCACTGAGCCACCCAGGCGCCCCGATCATACAATTAATTTATAAATGAATATCATCAGCTTAACTATTCATGCCAAAAGGTCTATTATTCCAATCAGATAAAAATAAAAAGGTGACTTTATTTTTTTTCAAGAAACTTAATTACCAGAGAAATGAAAACTCAGATAAAAGCAGGCTTGTTAATAGCAACCACTGCTGCAGCTGAGCTTAAACTGTGATTTCTATTCATTTTAATTCCAATTATTATTTTGTACTTTTAATCTTCAAGAGGTATGCCTTAGCAACCTATGATAGGAATGGCTCCCAGCTATAATGAAGTTCAATTCTTCAATGGGGAAAGAATGATCCACTTGCTCAAAAGAAAATACACTATTTTTCAAAAATTTTCTTCATCCATGTTATGAAAAATAATCCTGAGAGTCTTTTTCTAGAGCAGAATCTAACTGCAGTATTCCTGTATGTGGATATATTTAAAGATAGTGTTCTAAGCTCTATATGCTACTCACTCTGATAAGTCCTTGCATTTGATTCATTTATAATTCACACTAAATATTTTAGGAATTATTGCTTCAAATAAATAAGTGAGAAAACTGAATCTAATATAGTTTAAGCATCACATGGTTAATAAATGGCAGAAGTGAGAACTGAAATGCAGATATATCTGGCTGCAGAGGCTCGATTCTTACAAACAAGAAACAAAAACAAACCAGACAACAACAAAACACGTTATATAACTTCTGTGCATCCATGATCAGAGTTCACTTACACTATGTGTGTGCACACATGCACACTTGTACATACACAGACACACACACACACAGACACACACACACACAGACACACACACACACACACACACACACACACATATTTTCATTGCCACCACATCAAGACAGAGTGCAATTTGACAATCTGGAAGAAATGGATGCATTCCCAGAGATGTATAAACTACCAAAACTGAACCAGGAAGAAATAGAAAACTTGAACAGACCCATAACCAGTAAGGAGATTGAAGCAGTCATCAAAATTCTCCCAACAAACAAGAGCCCAGGGCCAGACAGCTTTCCAGGGGAATTCTACCAAGCATTTAAGGAATAATTAACTCCTATTCTCCTGAAACTGTTCCAAAAAATTGAAATGGAAGGAAAACTTCCAAACTCATTTTATGAGACCAGCATTACCTTGATCCCTAAACCAGACAAAGACCCAGACAAAGGGCAAAAATGAGAATTACAGACCAATATCCTTGATGAACATGGATGTAAAAATTCTCACCAAAATACTAGCCAATAGGCTAGTATTAAAAGGATTTTTCACATTAAAAATGTGAATAAAAGGATTGTCAAAAGGATTATTCACCACGACCAAGTGGGATTTATTCCTGGGCTGCAAGCTTGGTTCAACATCTGCAATCAGTCAATGTGATACAATACAGTAATAAAAGAAAGAACAAGAACCATAGGATACTCTCAATCGATGCTGAAAAAGCATTTGACAAAGTACAGCATTTTTTCTTGATCAAAACTCTTCCCACTGTAGGGATAGAGGGTACATACCTCCATATCATCAAAGCCATCTATGAAAAACCCACAGCGAATATCATTCTCAATGGGGAAAAACTGAGAGCTTTTCCCCTAAGGTCAGGAACACAGCAGGGCTGTCCACCATCACCACCGATATTCAATATACTACTAGAAATCTGAGCCCCGCAATCAGACAAAAAAAAAAAAAAAGAAAGAAAGAAAGAAAGGAAAGGCATCTGAATCAGCAGAGAAGTAGTAAAACTCTTACTCTTTGTAGATGATATGATACTTTATGTGGAAAACCAAAAGACTGAACTCAAAAACTGCTAGAACTTATTCAGGAATTCAGTAACGTATCAGAATATTAAATCAATTCCCAGAAATCAGTTGCATTTCTATACACCAACAACAATATTGAAGAAAGAGAAATTAAGGAGTCAATCCCACTTACAACTGGACCCAAGCCATAAGATATCTAGGAATACACTAACCAGAGAGGCAAAAAATCTATACTCAGTAAACCATAGAGTACTCATGAAAGAAACTGAGGAAGACACAAAGAAATGGAAAAATGTTCTAAGCTCATGAACTGGAAGAACAAATATTGTGAACTTGTCTATGCTACCTAAAGCAATCTACACATTTAATGCAATCCCTATCAAAATACCATCCATTTTTTTCAAAGAAATGGAACAAATAATCCCAAAATTTATATGGAACCAGAAAAGACCCCGAATAGCCAGAGGGATGTTGAAAAAGAAAACCAAAGTTGTAGGCATCACAATTCCAGACTTCAAGCTCTATTACAAAGCTATCATCATCAAGACAGTATGGTACTGGCATAAAAACAGACTCAAAGATCAATGGAACAGAATAGAGAGCCCAGAAACAGACCCTTAACTCTGTGGTCAACTAATCTTTGACAAAGCAGGAAAGAATGTCCAATGGAAAGGAG